TATATTCTCACTAAAAATACAAATTTCTCATGATAAATTAATACAAAAATAAAAAAGCGCAGAAACAATGTTACAATAAAGAAAATGAAATTTTTGATCAAAACGGTAAAAGGAGGGACACCTAACAGACAATTTTTACAGGCTAGTACAATAAACTTTGCGTACATGAAAAGCATATGATAGCTCTCGTTGGGATACAAACCCAGCTCTTGTGTGTGGATGTTTTTCTACATAACAAGTTCATAAATTCTGGGCTGGAAATTCTCACTGAGATGCCCCCAAATCAATTCTCCATTCAAGTGTAGAGCCTCAGGCGCGTTGTTATGGGTTCCCGACACAACGGGCATGCTGAAATCGTTACTCCACAATCCTTGCAGGTCTTGAACAATGAAAAAACATTGGTGTGAATTTTAAAGTATACTCTTGAGATGAGCTCCACATATAAAGGAGTAATGCAATCACGTTCAATCAGTCCATTGGCCAATATGGCCCCAGTGTAATTAGTTTATAGAAATAAAAATATTATATCGGACAGAACAATCACAAAGGCCTTCATGAGAAAGCAACAACATGGCCCTTAAGCAAACCCGACAAAGTGAAATTGTGGGCAATTTAATACTAGAAGTGCACCTTAATCTCCACCAATCTGGGATTCACCTTAGTGGCTACCAATTTTTTTTTTTTTTTTTTTTGATAAAATAAAGAGAAACAAACACAAATCAATGAACAAATCGACCATAAGGGCGCTTTCAAGAAGAGGTAATACCGTGGCCCAAAGTGGACCCCCCCACTAAGAAATGTGTTGAAAGCTCATCTTGTCAAGAATTATACATATACCTATATATAACTGTTGACAAGATGAACTTTCAACATATTCCCTTTATTTTTTATCCTCATACTAGAAGCATGAGAACCATAAAAGGGCGAAAGTTACCTAGCTTTGCAAAAAACTAAAAATGGGAGAAACAAAAAATTACCTAACAAATTTTGCAAGTGTTAAAACATATGGAAGTTCCAAAGTCAAATAAAAAGAGACCAAAACACAATATGGATCCTTGATACACTGATCCAAGCAACCTTTAGAGATTAATATTGAAGTGCACTTACCGTATGGCCGCATCCAAAAGCCATGTCCTTCGGATTTGTAAGACAAATAGGGCAGACCTTGAACAACACAAAAACATCTTCAACGTCAGATGCTTCGCTATAAGCATGGGAGAAAGGGGACGAAGAAAGTAGAGAAGATTAAATACCAGTTCCACAGCAGCTGAAGCTGTTGCCTCTTCTTTCATAAAGTCTGTCATCCGTGGGATCGATCTGACCGCATTGTCATGATCGATCACCTTTTGTGGAGGCGGAAGCGGCCGTGTTCGTGGGCCACCTAGGTGTTCCCTACTGCAAAAGTAGAATGCTTTTAACAAACAAGTAATTTGTGAAATGGAAGACTCAACAACTAGAAAGTAGAAACTTCAGCAATAGGGCTTACTTGTCAAAATTTAAGGTTAGGGTGGCTCTGTACTGAAACGGAATTTCCATGAGTGCAGCGAGTGCAAAAGCTGTTTCCTTCTTTGATAGTTCTGAGTTCTCAGACATGATTTTCGTGAAGTTGACAAACTGCAGGGACAAATCCAAAAGAGCAGATTTTTCTATTCATTTTCTATGTGAAAAAATTCAGGACAGATAAGATATTAATACTTTTCTCATCAGAAGCAAATTAGAAGCATGTCCTACCATGA